CCCTCCCACCCCCCAACCCCCCATCCCACCCTGCCTCTGTGGCAGGGCATTCCCTTTTGTTCTCTCTCTCCTTTTGGATGCGGTGGTTTGCAAAAGAGTCATCGAGTGTCAATCATGTTCGGTCTATAGTCTACTTTCAGCATGCATCTCCCATTCTGGGAGGATCCTCCCAACACCCTTTACTTGGTGCTCCCTTCTCTATCTGAGCTTGCAGATTCTTTACCAGCACAGGGGCCATGATTTCACAAGAGGTGTTAACCCTCATTAGACCCCCTACACCATTCTTTTAGCTAAACTTTACTGAACATTTACTACACCTGAGGACCCACAGGAAGATGAAATCCACATGTTTCTGACTCCAAGAACCTCAAGGACATTTTCCAATACTCACAGAAACAAATACAGAGGCTTTGAGAGTCGGCCACACCCCATTTGACATGGGCCAGGTGGGCCAGGTGGGACTCAATGCCCAGAAGCAACCTTTCCCAGAGCAGCGAATTCTAGAGTGGCCTCTGTTGCATTGCAAGTGCCCTCCTCGGGCAGCGCACCTAACCTGGGGTGATCGCGGCATGTTTGACTTTTTTGAAGGTTTATTAGGCAACACATTCTAGATGGTAAATAGAACACCTTGAAGCAATACTGGGAACCTTTTTTTTTCTTTTTTTAAAATTTATTTTTTAAAGAATCACCGTGAGATACAGTTATAGACTTACAAACTTTCGTGATTACATTTCAGTCATACAATGTTCGGGTACCCATCCCTCCACCAGTGCCCATTCTCCACCACCAATGTTCCCAGTATCCCTCCCACTACCCCCCACCCCATCTCCCATCTGCCACCTCTGTGGCAGGCACATTCCCTTTTATTCTCTCTCCTTCTGGGTGTTATGGTTTGTAATACAAGCACTAAGTGGCCATCATGTTTGATCCATAGTCTACTTTCAGCATGCATCTCCCATCCCGAGGGAGCCCACCACGCATCATTTACTTAGTGGGCCCTTCTCTAGCCAAGCTTGGGCATGTTCTTTACATTAGCTTCTATTCTTTCTTTTCCCCATAATCTGCCATACCCTAATTTAATCTATCTCATCCCAAGTAAAAGTCACCTGTGGCATGCCTACAAATTTTGCCTCGTATAGAACATATATGAGCACACATATATTTTATATACATTCCTTATACATAAAGTATATGCCTTTTTTCACTAAAAAGGTCTTTTTTTTTTTTCATTAAAAAGCATCCTGTCTTTACTTCCTAGTTTTATGACTGCCTAAAAACCCATTTCCCAATGAAAATAATTTTCATTCCTTTGTGACCTGGTTTGATGAATGACTTTTTAAATTCTATGCCGAAATGACATGCTTTTTAAACTGCATAAATAGAAGATTAGGGATGGTGGGTAGGGAATAATATTATACATATAATACAGAAAGTTATATGGAATTAGGAAATATAAGAGCTTCGTGTTCTAAATAGAGTGTTTTAAGTTAAAAATTTGCAGCTTCTCTTGGTCAACTTTATTCTCTTAGTTCCCCTTTCTAGAGAAGACACAACCAGCTTCCTCTCACCAGCAAAATCATTGACTGAGTGGGTGGACTGGGAGTCCTTCTGAGGTCTGCTCAAAGCTGACCACAACCTCCAAGTGCACCGTGACCTGAGGATGCTGTGAGCATATTTTCCAATATCTTCTTCAGACTTGGGCTATTAACCCTCCAAATTACACTCTGAAACATTTCAAGCAGCCTCCACCTCTGGCCAGTACAGATAAGTCAACACGTTGCCTTTGCCTTCTCTGCTGCTCTCCTGACACCTGAGGGAACAGGGAAGAACGGGGTGCGCTAACACCCTTTTCTCTATGCACACTTATCATCATCATAATCGGACCCATTTATAGTGTTCCTATTATTGGAAAGCCTGTGCGGGGTGCTTTACATACATTAATTTCTAACGACCCTGGCAACTCTTCAAAATAAGTATTCATATTGTTATCTGCATTTATAGTATGAGGAATCTGAGAGTTGCAAACATCCATTTCTCAAGGGCACCTGGTTTGTCATGATCCCGTCATGACTGGGACAGACACACTGACTTTCCCAGGAGAATTCTTTTTTTTTTTTTTTCCAGTGGAACACCATGAGGTACAGTTGTAGATTTACAAATTTTTGTGCTTGGGTTTCGATTATACAATGATCAAGTACCCATCCCTCCACCAGTGCCCATTTTCCACCACCATGGATCCCAGTATCCCTCCCACCCCCATCCCCCCATCCTACCCTGCCTCTGTGGCAGGGCATTCCCTTTTGTTCTCTCTCTCCTTTTGGGTGTTGTGGTCTCCCAGGAGAATTCTAACCCTGAATGTCTGTTGCAGACACCAAACTTTCTGAAGCTTTCCACTGGACTAATCAAAGGCTGAACAACCCAGGCCACCTGGGATGACCAAGTAGCACCACTTGTTGCTTTGTCTTCTTCAGAGAAAGGTTGCTCCGCAGAAATCGCACACACCTTGAGCACTTTTCATGTGCATTCACTGTCTATAATTAAAGATGCAGACTTCATTTCAGGGATAAAAATGACAGTAATCCCTGGTCTCTTTCTGACAGCTTTGCTAAGTCATATGGAAGGAGATGGAGTGGGATCAGGAAGTACAAGCTTCCTGTCAAGTACAACTTGGAACGAACTTGGTTTTTTTGTTTTGTTTTGTTTATGTTTTTTAATTTTTTAATGAAATACCATGAGCTACAATTACAGACTGACACACTTTTGTGATAATGTTTGAGTCATACAGTGGTCGAGTACCCATTCCTCCACCAGTGCCCATTCTCCACCACCAATGTTCCCAGGACCCCCTACCAACCCCCGCCTCTGTGGCAGGTACATTCCCTCTTATTCTCTCCTTTCGGGTGTTATAGTTCGCAATACAGGTACTAAGTGACCATCATGTTCAGTCTATAGTCTACATTCAGCACACATCTCCCATCCCAAGCAAGTCCTCCAAGCACCCTTTACTTGGTGTTCCCTTCTCTATCTCAGTTGCCTTTTCCTCCAGCATGTGAGGCCGGCCTCCAAGCCGCAGAGGAATCCTCCTAGTCCTTATCGCTACTATCCTTGGGTGTTGTATTATACATATATAATATATCTCATTATGTTACTTTATATTTTGAAAGAACTTGGAACTTAAGTACAAGCTTATTCCAAGCTCAAGCATCCACGTACACATTTGAGTCCTTCAACCGTAAGCCCAGGAACTGGTCCCACTACGGTGAGCCCTCCTGCCATACAGAGAGTAACAGCAGAAGTGAACGTCCACACTGACCCTGACAGAAGCAAGCTCCATCCAGTCTACAAGGAGCAGAAGCTGCGAGGCCATGGAGACCTCTCAGTGCTCGGGGTTTCTAGCCTCATGCCCATCATCTATGTTTGTTGGTATTTTGTTTTGTTTTGTTTTATTTAGTAAATCAAAAACTTATTCATGATTGGGTTTTCAGGCATGCAATGTTCCAACACCAGTCCCTTTGCTAGTTTCCTCTTTCCTCCACCAATGCCCCCTCCCCCGTATCCCACCTACCCACCAGGCTGCTGCTATGAGAGGCACTTTTATAGGTACACATACATGTATGTATCTATATATCTCTATCTATATATGTGTGTATATATTTATATATATACATATATGTGTGTATATATATGTGTGTGTGTGTATATATATATATATATATATAAAACTTTTGGGGCTGGAGCAATAGCACAGCAGGTAGGGCGTTTTGCCTTGCACGCAGCCAACCTGGGTTTGATTCCCAGCATCCCATATGGTCCCCCAAGCACCACCAGGGGTAATTCCTGAGTGCAGAGCCAGGAGTAACCAAAAAGCTTCCCCCCCCCCAAAGAAAAACTTTTGGCCTGTGATTTACAACACTGTTACTGATATACTGAGCACCTTTCAGCTCTCTCTCTTTCTGGTGTACCACTTTCATCCACCACTTTTGTGGTGTTCTTGTCCCTGTCCTAACTCCCACCAACCCCATGGCAAGCTTTCTACTGAAGACCAGTCCTCAATTACTTTAATAGTAATTGCTTCAACAGTAATCCTCTTTGGGCATATGTTAGTCCCCGACTATGTTTCTTTGTAATCTATTTATTTGCCATTTCATCAGCTTCCACCCAACTTGAATTACCATAAAGTTCTTGAAATTCAAAAATCTTCCCTTAACATCAAACACCATAAAATGTTTAGGCATCTCCATTTCTGGATGGAAATGCTGAGCTCTCCTCTATTAGACGGACTCCTTTTCTTGCTTTAGATAGTAAAACTTTACAGGATGTCTGTTTTCCGTACTCCCCAGGGTGAAGAATTAAAACACAGTAGGAAGTTCAGGATAATGGATGTCATGTGGAGAAACTCTGATTCATAAAGCTATGATATTTTTCCTTGATAGAATCATGCTAGTATTTTGTAGATAAACATTAAACATGTGAACAGGTGGGAAATTTTTTCTGTTCAAAAGGAAGTCATAACCAGTCATCTGTTCTCGGGTACTTGGGTTGTTTCTATATTCTGGCTATTGTGAACAGTGCTGCAATGAACATAGGTGCAGATGTCATTTCTACTGCGCTTATTGCACCCTTGGGATATATTCCCAGAAGTGGTATTGCGGGGTAGGAGATGTGTACTGAAAGTAGACAAAGGACCAAACGTGATAACCTCTCAGTATCTGTATTCAAACCATAATGCCCCAAAGTAGAGAGAAAGTATAGGGCAAATTGTCTGCCATAAAGGCAGGGGGAGGGCTGGAAAGGGGGGTATACATTGGTGGTGGAGAATGTGCACTGTGGAGGGATGGATGTTTGATCAGTTGTATGATAGAAACTCAAACATGAAAGCTTATAACTGTATCTCATGGTGATTCAATAAAAAAAAAAAAAAAGAAATTTGGGCCATACTGAATACCCACTGATTTCAAATGTGTTCGTATCTATAACAAATTTGACTCTGTCCCCCCCAGCTCCATTCAGACATGGACAGAGGGGATGGGTCCATCAAATATATCCTCTCTGGAGAAGGCGCAGGCATCGTATTTACCATCGACGACACCACGGGAGATATCCATGCCATTCAGAGGCTCGACCGGGAGGAGAGGTCCCAGTACACACTAAGGGCTCAAGCCCTCGACAGGCGGACAGGCCGGCCCATGGAGCCCGAGTCCGAGTTCATCATCAAAATCCAGGATATCAATGACAACGAGCCCAAGTTCCTGGATGGACCTTATGTCGCCACCGTACCGGAAATGTCACCAGTGGGTAAGGTGGAAGTCACCAGGCTCCTCCAACAATGGCTCCCCCATCACCACCCGCCCTACCTCCATCTGTAACAGAAGAGAACTTGCAATCTGACAAAGAAATCATAAAGCAGAACCCAAAATGTCCATAGTCAATATAAAATAACATAATATGAGATTGACACCCAAGGACAGTAGACACAGGGCCAGGAATATTGCCCTATAGTTGGAAGTCTGCTTCATGAGCTGGGGGAGGAGGCAGCTGGAATAGAGAAGGGGTCACGAAGACAATGATGGTTGAAGGAATCGTTCGGGATGGGAGATGTGTGCTTTTTAGATAAAGGACCAAACATGATGGCCTCTCAGTCTCTGTATTGCAAACCCTAATGCCCAAAAACAGAGAGTATGGGGAAAATTGTCAGCATGGAGGCAGAGGGAGGGTGGGAAAGGGGGGGTATCCTGGGGACATTGGTGGTGGAAAATGTGCTTTTCCAAAGGTGGAGGGATGGGTGTTTGATCATTGCATGATTGAAACTCAAACATTAAAGCTTGTAACTGTAGCTCATAGTGATTCAATTAAAAAAAAAAAAGAAAAAGAAAAAAATGTCCATAGGCAGGCAGGAAGCAACTTAGACATTGTAACCTGCTGCATAAAAGAAAATTAAAAAAAAAAATGAAGCAGGTTGCCATAAGCCTGGTATTGACATTCAATTCTGCTTCTTAAAAACAAAAACTGAGAGGCAGGTATTTCCTCCATAAGGAGCGGCATTTTTGTTTTATCAAAAGAGCAAATAACCCTAAGGCTGTGCTGTCTTTACTGGTTATTAAGGAGGTAAAACACAGGGCTGGAGAGAGAGCACACAGGTGAGGCTCTTGCCTTGCATGCAACCAATCCGGATTCATGCCTGGCACCCCATAGGGTCCCCTGCCTCCACCAGGAGTGATACCTGAGCTTAGAGCCAGGAGTAAGTCTGAGCACAGTCAGGTGTGGCCCCCCCAAAAGAATAAACAACAACAACAATAACAAAAATAATTCAAAACACAAATATTTGGCCCCACTACATGATACAAGATAGAAATGACAAAAGCTCCCCTCCCAAGGGGCAGTGCTGAGAAGTAACTCTAACATCAGGGTGGATGCTGATTGCCCCTTCACAACGGTACCCCCCTCCCACTGACAACTGGCCTGAACCGGTTTCCACTCTGTCTCCTCAGGGACCTCTGTCATCCAGGTGACGGCCACCGATGCCGACGACCCAACCTACGGGAACAGTGCCCGGGTCGTGTACAGCATCCTCCAGGGCCAGCCCTATTTTTCCGTGGACTCCAAAACAGGTATTTGATGCAACGGTCAAGTAAGCAGTGTTTGGTTTATTCCCCAACTGCTCCCTCGGAGAGATCAGTTTCCCCTTTTCACTCCCAGGAGTGTACTGGCCCCAGAAGATGGTGACAAACATTAAGAGATTAAGAGAGCAAACCAGCACTCCCTTGCCGGCTGGTCTGAGAGCAGCATCTGTGTTTAAGAGGTGGAGAAGCTCCAATGGGGCCCGGGGTCAGAGGGCAAAGAACTGGCAACCCCCACGGACCTCCTCAATAACTGTTCAAAAATTCTTGCAATTGCATTTACTCCTGGGGATTAAGGCCCATGGTCCCCACCCTCCTCGCCCAAAGACCAGAGAAGATTGACACATGAACCCGTTTCACTAGAGAACTAGAACCATTGATTTTGACATGGGTCAAGACTTCAGGGAATCACACGGTTCATCCTCGTTCTCTCCCTTTCTGGGCACGGGGAAATGGCGCTGGACCCAGACAAAGCCCATCTCATTGTCCCCATGTCCCCCGACACTTGGTCTGATGCTGTTTCACTGGGACACCCAGTCTAAGCAGAACAACGGGTGCTAAGAAAGGTTTTGAGAAGCGGCTGGAGGGTGGCCTAGAACCTGGGTGTGCCCCCTTTCCCACCAAAGACAGTGACTGGAAAGTCTGAGGCAGAGGAGAACTTCGAGAACCTGGATTGGTAAGGAGCAGCTCGGCAGAGAAATAGAAACCAATAGATTTGATGTTTGCATTTTTTTCTTTGGTTTTTATTTTCATTTTTACACCAGAACTGGGAGGACAGCATTCATCTCACATCCGTGAAGCACCTCAGAGACTTGTGGGTTGGGCAGAGCGAATTTTCTATCCGTGTCTTTTAGTACTTGTGCCAGGATTTCTCCCTCGTAAAATACTTCCATGAACATTTCCAAATTTGTGCTTGGCAGTCATCTTCTGATCTGGCCAAATACCTGGAAATATTATTATTCCCGTTTTTGCACACAGGAACACTGAGGACCTAGGAGTCATTAACACACATCTTGAATAAAGACACAAACAGTTACAGAGATGAAAAGCCAGTGGGGACACTCAAAGTCACTTCTTTACAGAAGGAGGGAAAAATACACTGCTATCAGCATCCTAATAGAATTTTTTCCAGAAGTCCTAGAGGAAACCAGGCGTTCAGAAAAGTGCATCATAAAAGTCAAAGTCACAGGTGAGGGACTATAAATTAGGACAGAGAAAGGGATGAAACCGCGCTTAGGGACTTCTATAAAATAGTAACTTTAACTATCTTACAACCGGGGAAAGGGAGGCCAGCGGAACCCTCCGGGAGGAAGGTACAGCGGGGAAGAAGGGAATGTGTCCTTTTCTCCCCAGACAAACTTTACATTATTTTGACAGCTCCCAGCGGGCATCTTTACTTTTAGGGTCAAAAATACATTTTTTTAAAAATCGTTATTGTTATATCCAGAAGGCATTTAAAAAAAAAAAAAGAAAATGCTGCCTGTTTCCTTGAGAATGTTGTGCCGATAATGTAATAAGATACATTGTAGCACGCAGCTGAAGACAGCTTTGTGGGTCTAGGTGCTTCCTTTGTCAAGCAAAAGGTCCAGGTTCTGCGGGATTATAAACTCACAGAAAAAAAAAATCCTTTGCTGGTGTCTGGCACTCATCTTTTCCCAGAGGGAGGTGCAACTTTATCACACATCCTTGGCAGGGTCAGGACAGCTTCTGGCCACAGGAAGGGGTACAGAATCTCACCCCTCTCCTGCCTAAATGAAGCCCCATCCCTTAATGCTGCATTGACAAGGCTGCTTGCTGGAGTGAGTTCCTCCCTTAACTTGGGGGAAATAAACAGTTCCCTGGGCTGTCTTCCCCGGCTCCCTGGCTCCCGGGATTCAAGGAAACAGAGAGGCTATCAGGACAGATCAAACCTGAGAGGATGCACAGCCACAGCAAAAGCCAATCAGAATTCCCAGCCTGCCTGCAGGTACCGGGATGGCAGGGGAGGAGCAGCCTAGGACCGAGGCATGCACGCTACTGGGGCTCCGGGGGCCGAAAAAAAGAAAGAGCTGGCGGAGAATCACCCCAAATCACAGATTCGTAAACACACGACGCTTTGTTTTCTCGCCCCCCACCCCCCACCCCCACTCCGGGTCCGGTTTTCTTGGCGCTGGGTCGGCCTGCAATCACCTTGGGCCGCCGTGCAGGTCTGCCAGAGAACCATGCTGCCACCTCCTGTTCATTCTCGGTACTGCCGTCAAGGGAGTCCCAGCCGGGCTGCTTTAACTTAACCGTTTTAAGACCAGCACCTTCCCTCAATGGTTGGAATCAACCACAAGTGTGTAGGGGACGGAGGTTGGGTAAGATAGAGCAGGGACCAGGATGGCAATAATAGCTGAAAATGATCAAGTTGGACAAGAACGGAGTGTTAAAAGAGAAACTTTCAGTATCTGCGTTGCAAACCACAATGCCCGAAAGGAGGGGGTGAGGAGAGAGAGAGACAGAGACAGAAAGAGAGAAAGAGAGAGAAAGTGTCTGCCAGAGAGGCAGGCTGGGGGAGAAGGAGATGGGAGGGAAATTGGAGACACTGGTGCTGGGAAATGTGCATTGGTGGAGGGATGGGTGTTGGAACACTATGTAACTGAAACCTAACCATGAACAGCTCTGTAAAGATCTATCTTACAGTAATTCAACAATAAAATCTTTAAAAATAAATAAAATTAAAAGACTAGAACCTTCCCCAGTCCCACCAAGCTGGGCTTAAACAGGGGTGGCATAAGCAACGCCAAGACTCTGCCCAGGAGCTCCAAGAAGGACCCCGAAGCCCGTCCCCCAAACTGGACTGTGCCTTTGTTCCTCAAAACCAAGTGTTTTCTGTCGTGCAGGCGTTATCAGGACAGCCCTCATGAACATGGACCGAGAAGCCAAAGAATACTACGAAGTCATTGTACAGGCCAAGGACATGGGCGGGCAGCTCGGAGGGTTGGCCGGGACCACCACCGTCAACATCACCCTGTCGGATGTCAACGACAACCCGCCCCGCTTTCCCCAGAGTGAGTGTCTGGCCCGTGGAGTGGGGTCGCAGGTCCCCAAGGCAGAGCTGGGGAGCAGGGGGGCTCAATCCGAGTGCTCTTAAGCCCCCTAATCCACAGCTTCCTTTGCTGAACTTGACCACGCAGCTTACACATCACCTTTTCCCCTTCTGGTGCCCCAGATTCTTCTAGAAGTAAACCGGTGCTTCTCACCTTTTCTGTTGTTCGTTTCATTTTCCTCACCCTAAAGACGTCTTCTCAACTGCTTTTCTTGCTCACCATTGATTGTCAGTCACTCCCTGCCATAAAAAATAGATACTAAGGAAGGATTAAGATTTGATTGAAGCTTAGGGACCTCTGTGTCTGTGTATGTGTGTACTGTGAGAGAAAGAGAGAGAGACAGAGAGAGAGAGAGAGTCTTAGAGGCAATATTGTGTGTATGTGTGTGTAAGTGTGTGTGTACTGAGTCTTAGAGACAACATTGTGTGTGTTTGTACTGCAAGAGAGAAAGTCTTAAAGACAATGTTGTGTGTGTATACTGAAAGAGAATCTGAGGCAAAGTTCTGTATGTGTGCGTGTGTACTGCAAGAGAGTCTTAGAGACAATGTTGTGTCTGCGTGTATGTGTGTGTACTGAGAGTCTTAGAGACAAGGTTGTGTGTGTGTGTGTGTGTGTGTGTGTTTCTTTTTTTGCCCTCTCGGGGGCGACCTTGCCCCATTAAGAATGCAGGAGGGGATCAGGTCTAGGGAATGTGGAGACTCTCCTGATCTCCTTAACCCATGAATGCACAGGTAAGTAAAGACTGTCCAAGATGGGCCCCAGGTGCTTGGAACCCATGACCCCATGACCTTCAGATTTGAAATCCATGCTGGGAGGAGGGAGAGTGTACAGACACTGCCCTCAGCAAAAGATAACCGAGAAGCAATATTTGCCATGCCAACTGGTTAGCACTGAATGAAGCCTTCCCAATAAGCTGAGATGAAGGGAGGCGTCAGAGCAGGATGAAAATTCAGCCAAGCGCTGAAGAACGCAAATAAGTCAAATAAGCAAAAGGGTATCACTCCATGAGGGGGGTGCTATTCATTCATTTGGAAAACACTTGTTTCAGTTACCAGCTCAAATATGGAAGGTAGGGCAGCGTAGAATGCCAAACCTCTGCTCTCCTAGAGATCATTTGAGATGTAGGAAAGAATAAAGATGCACCTTTACATCCAAAGATACCCAATATTTATCTAATGGGAGTTGTTGGGAAAAAAACAAGAGGTAAAGAAAATCAAATGGGTTGCTGTGTGGATGATGGGCAGTGGAAGTACAGAAGCGGTCACTGGAAGCTGTTAGTGTTCTCTAGATTTGAACTGTCAGGACTTAAGGAACTAAAAGGCAGGAGTGTCGTGATACACATAAAAACATGCATTTCTCCCTGATGATTTCTTAGCTTCGAGATACAGGACAGAGGGTGGAATCAGATGGCCACCGAGTCAGAGTAGGATTAGATCTCAGTGACAGGCAGTGAGTGAACTGTGCTGGTAGGGGAAGAAGCGTAGAGGAAGTCGGGGCAAAGCAGCAAGAAGACGACCTCAGAGTTGAATATGAAGGGGGAGCATGAGGGCCTGACCCCAAGGCCTTAGGATGGTGGGATTACAGAGCTATCACTATAATTGTGAAATCAAGCCCAGGAGCAGGAGTAAAATTTTTGAAAACATCAGTAAGGTTGGGGGGAAAAAATTGAGAACATGAAAAAATGTAACCAGGAAAATTAGCATTGTAGCACTGTCCTCCCGTTGTTCATCGATTTGCTCGAGCGGGCCCAGTAACATCTCCACTATGAGACTTGTTGTTACTGTGTTTGGCATATCGAATATGTCACAAGGAGCTTGCCAGGCTTTGCCGTGCGGGCAAGATACTCTCTGTAGCTTGCCCGGCTCTCCGAAAAGACTATTAAACTACATAGAGCCAATCGAGGTTATCTGGTGATTAATGGTTATATTTTGAGTCTGACCAAATCAGATCATTGATTTGATCGGTATAAATACTGGGAGAGCTCAACCTTTTCTATATGCCTGATAAATACAAGCCTCCCTGAGAGTACCTGAAACACAAAGGCAGCACACTAGGAAGGGGTTCACAGTGGCACAAGACACCGTAGGAAGCTAAGTTATTGGTTTTGCAATGCAGAAGAGTCGTGCATCGTGGAACCATTTATGAAGTACCATTTTGATTGGGTTCTTATTGCTTTGTTGACCCTCTGGTTCCCTCCTTGTTACTTCATGAACAAAGCTTATATTGTACATATTGGAGATTCTTAAAATCCTTCAACTAGCCAATTTGGCTTTCATAATTTGTCAAGAGATGGTAACTGTGATGAAAGTAGAAAAGACAGAAATTTCAAGTTATCACATAAGCTCATAAAAATATAGATCCTTGAATAAGGTTATGTTGTTATAACTCTGATGAGAAAAAATAGAATCCCAACTTCATAAGAAAAAAATATATAGCCAATGTTGAACAAAATGAGCTTATTTAAAGACCTACTTCATGTTATTTTGCTTAAAGGCACAGTTTTCAAGAATTTTCAATGGAATTGGACATACTGTAGAAAAGTCATTTCACCCTAAAAATAGTATAACAGAATACAGTGAAAGTGGATTTTCACAAACCAACACATTTATACCATCCTAAAGCAAACATTTTCAATTGTCACTTTTTAGAAATAATAAAAACTCTGGGAGAGCAAGAAAGCATCCAAGCAACTATTAGACTGCCAAGAATGAAGATGTAAATATCAAAAAAGCCATCTACCTCAAAACATTTTCTGTATATTATCCTTAAGGATCATTAGTTTTAGATTTGGAAAACGCTCTATCTCACCATTAAATATTTCCCCATCTATTTCTTATTACTAAGTTTATACGGTATTATTATTCCATAAGCCTACAATATTAGCCTCATATGCATTTGTTGTTTGGGGGAGGGGTGGCTTTTAGATTCACTGGCCAGTGCTCAGGGGCTCTGGGATCAATCCCTCTGGCCTCTGGAGGGTCAGGTGGGTTGTTGAACCCAGATCCCTGCATCAAAGCAAGTGTTCCAGACCTTTGAGCTCTCTCCTTGGGCCCCTCTTCTGCATTAGTAATTTTTTGATTCTTCATCTGGGGTTCCATTGTATTTCTTTTTCATTAATACTGCTATAATAAACTATGGAATGTGGACAAAATGACATACTATTTTATATTGAATAAACACAGTCACTGGTGATGGGACAACATTTAATGAAATATCAAGATCTCGGGCTATTTATTTTTGTTTTTAAAAACTTTTTTATTGAATCACCAGGAGTTATACAGTTACAAACTTGTTCATGACTGAGTTTCAGTCATGCTATGTTGCAAAACCCATCCCTTAACCAGTGTGCATTTCCCACCACCAATGTCCCCAGTTTCTCTCTGGCTCCATCCAGCCTGCCTCTAATGGCAGGCCTCTCTCTTTCTCTCTCCTTTCTCTCTCTCTCTCCTCTCTCTCTCTCCCACCCCCCTTCTGGGAATTATGGTTTGCGATATAGGTCCTAAAGGATTATCATCTTTATCTCCTTTCAGCACTCAGTTCTTGTCCATAGTAATCATTTCCAACTATCATTGTCGTAGTGGTCCCTTCTCTATCCTAATTGCTCTCATCCCCCTCAACACCCCTACAACTTGTGGCAAGTTTCCAACCATGGACCAGTTTTCCTGACCCTTGTTTCTGCTGTCCTTAGGTCGATTCACTTCTAATATTTTTCTAATATAATGCAGCACATGAAGACATTGTCTCCATATGTTTGTTTAATCCTAGAATGCACTGTTCCTGGAGTGGATAAAATTGCAGGTGGATACTTCTTTTCCCCTAAAAGTTACTGTAGCAAAATCTAATCTGTCAACAGTTTGGGAAGTGAATGGGGAAAGGATCATGAAATCCAAGTGCCTGCAAGGTCATATAGACATTAACACTTTGGTAGCTCGTATTTCTGAAGGAAAAGTATCATTCCTTCTGTGCAAGGGAAGGAGGGATTGTGCTGTGAGCTGGCTGGAGGCTGTCAGACTTCTCAAATCTTTATGAAACTCAACTCCTCACATACCAGGCTTCTCTGTTGCTTACAATGCATATTAGAATAAAAGGGATCATGTCAATACTGAAAATGCGATTGTAAGTCACATTATGATTGACAAAATAACGAGTAACTTTGAAAACTTGAGCCCCAGGGAAGGTGAGGCAGCAAAGATACAACTTTGGAGCCAAAAATGAACTAATTTCATTGTGAAATCGAGATAGCAAATTGAAAATGAGGGTATGGCTAGCTCTTATCTTACCTATGTGAGAACACTTTGGATGTTCTATTCTAGAACAAAAGAGCAGAAAAAAAGCGCAGGTCTGTCCACAGAGACCCAGGAACATAAACACAGTAATGGGCCACTCATGGAGTTGATGGCTCTTGCTCTGCAGGACCATTCCTACAATAGAGTCCCTGGTCACCATTAAATTTGGAGATATTATGTCCATAAATATGGATACCTAGCACCTGGCCAAGCCATGGAGGAAAACACAAGGATTTGCAATGTGAGCAGAATAAGTACATCATTATCTCAGTGGTATGCTAGCTTTCTCAGAAGAAATTAACATTTGGGGAAATGGTTCCATACAAAGGAAATGAGGTACTTCCTACAACTCAGAATGGAAATTCACTAAGAAGAGAAATATTTAGTTTTTTCTCCTTCCTACCCTTAGGACTGGGCTGGAGAGATAGCATGGCGGGTAGGGTGTTTGCCTTGCACGAGGCCGACCCAGCCGACCCATGTTCGAGTCCTCTGCCCCTCTCGGAGAGCCTGACAAGCTACCGAGAGTATCTTGCCCACATAGCAAACCCTGACAAGCTACCTGTAACGTATTCAATATGTCAAATACAGTAACAAGTGTCACAATGGAGCCGTTACTGATGCCCACTCGAGCAAATTGATGAACAACGGGAGGACAGTGACAGTGACAGTGACCCTTAGGATTATAATCAAACTATTTTGACCTCTCCTTACCAAACACGTAGTTCAGGCTTCGAATCATTTGTTCAACCTCTTTGATTGCTGGTGTTCATCAATTGAACTCGGAATTTAATTGTTAAATTTTAGGGAGAAAGATGTTTTGCTAAGCATGCCTGATGTGATGTGATACTGTTGACATGTATTTCATGATGAAGATGACCAAGAATGGCCATTCTACCCTTTGTTCCCAGAGCATTATCAAATGAGTGTCTTGGAATCAGCTCCAGTGAGCTCCACTGTAGGGAGAGTATTTGCCAAGGACTTGGACGAAGGCATCAATGCCGAGATGAAGTACACTATTGTGGATGGAGATGGTGCTGATGCTTTTGACATTAACACAGATCCCAACTTCCAAGTTGGCATCATCACCGTCAAGAAGGTAATCTCACTCATTTTTGCAATGTTTTTCATTTTTGTGAAGATTCTGAATATATGTGAGCTGTTTGTTACTAAGGGCTAGAGTACTACTGATATAATATATATATATACATATACATATAAGTATATATGGGCTGGAGTGATAGCACAGTGGGTAGGGCGTTTGCCTTGCATGCAGCCAACATGGCTGACCTGAGTTTGATTCCTCCACCCCTCTCGGAGAGCCCAGCAAGCTGCCGAGAGTATCTTGCCCACACGGCAAAGCCTGGCAAGCTACCCATGGTGTATTCGATATGCCAAACACAGTAGCAAGTCTCACAATGTTACTGGGCCTGCTCGAGCAAATCGATGAACAACAGGAGGACAGTGACAGTGAGATAGATAGATAGATAGATAGATAGATAGATAGATAGATAGATAGATATACATTGCTTCAAATTTAACAAATGCTCTTTTTTATTATTAAAAAAAAATACTCTGCTCTGGGCAGAATAGATAGCCTGAAGGGCTGGGCACATGCTATGCATGCAGGAGGCCCAAGTTCAAATCCCAGCACTAAACAATCCCCTGAGCACAGCCAGGAGTGTCTCCTGAGCACAGAGCTGGGAGCAGCCCTCAGATATCACCAGTCATACCCTCCACACTCACAAAACACTCTTGGGCTAGGGGATTTAGCTTAGTAGTACAGCGCTTGAATTCTGTGTGTGTGTGAGGTCCTGAGTTCAATCCCCAACACTGAAAATAATTACAAATAGAAATGTTAAAAAATAAACAAAAACTCTTACTCCTTTTGCTTACATGGAAACATGGGAACCATTGTGCATGAAAGGTCAACATTTTACAGATGAGGTATCAGGTCTGGAAAAAATATATATAGTATAACTGTCGTTTACATGACTAGCTCACTACTTAGCCACTTAAAAAATTCTTGTAGCTTAATTCTCTAATGATGCTAATGACTTGATCAATATTTGCGTTTGAAAGCACTCATTTTTTACCATAGTGTGCCATAATATCAATAAAACATGCCATAATATCACTCGTGAATCAATAAATAACATGCAAAGACCTTTTAATTGCTACTTGAAGATCCATAGATGCTAATTAGACTTGGAAAAGCTTTATCAAAGATAGCTGCTGAGTATTGAAACGTCTTTGCTTCATAAATTACAAAATTTTCTGAAAATAACCTCTCCACTTTTTCAGTGACATAAAGCACATGTGGTTGTACTAAGCTGGAAGAGATGACATTTTAAAAATTGAAGTTCTAATATCCTAATAAATCTACATTCAATTAGAAAACATTAATTCAAAATTCACTGACTTATTCTTCTATCTCTATTTTAAATATTTCATATCCTGAAACGTTTTAAATTATTCATTTAACAGGTATGTGCGGAGTACCTACCTATGTGTCAGTACTATTCCAGGCTTCTAATTTACAGTAAAACAATGAACATCTTGGAGATAGATATAGGAGTTAAGTAGATACAGAGATTGTACAGGAGTTAAGGTGCTAGTCTTGCATACAGCCAACCCCATTTGAATCCCTGGTACCTCATAAGGTCCCTACAGCATCCCCAAGAGTGATCCCTAAATGCACAGTCTGGAGTACAGTCCCAGAGCTCCACTGGGTGTATCCAAAAGAAAAAAAAAAACTCTGCCGCCATGGAACTTGCATTCTGAATATCAGGAAGAAAACAATCGATAGCAAAAAGTCAATAAGATAGTGTATAACAGAAAGTGCTAAGTGCTGTGAGGGTGGATAGAAAAATAGAAAAGACCATCTGAGAAAGGTTGTTGGGTTCTTAGCATCACAGAGAGTGGCAGCTATGTAAGGACTTCAGTGGACGTATTCACCACATTGAAATGGTCCTCTGAATGATGTTCAGTGGAAATTAGATGTGGAAGCCCTAAAGATTAAAGATGGGGAACAGTACAATTAGGGAATAACTTCAAGCAGAGATTCAGTACAAGGGTCCTCAGGTGGAATTCTTCCTCCTTTGTTTCAAGAGCAGCAGGGGAGGAGAGGTAGGATAGGAACTTGCCTTGCAGGAAGCTGTACCAGGTTCTATCCCTGACACGGCAATATGGCCCCCCAAGCAGTGCCAGGAGTCATCCTTAAGCACAGTAGCCCTGAGCACTACTGGGTGTGGGGGAAAAAAACAGAACCAAATGAACAAAAAGAAACAATGGGGGTCATTAGACTGCGTCAAAGAGCACATTAAATGCAGACAGAAAGTAGAAAAGTATCAAGAATACCAGAGTACGTGGGATGCTGAGAAAAAAGTAAGAACTTTGAGTTTTGCTCTAAGTGGAGAACAACCGGACATGACTAGACTTTCATCATAACATAATTCCTCTGAAGGTCATGTGAGAAAGGACAACAAAGGGCCACATCTGGGAAAAGGGAGCCCACATGAAACAGAGAGCTTGGGAGGGGGGCAATCTCATTTTCTAGCAGACTGGAGAGGAGAGGAAAAAAAGACAAATCAATTTAGCAGTCAGAAGAATAACGCAGTCCTCCACTGAGATGAAAATGCCAAGCAAGTAGGGCACTGGGCACCCAGGGGCAGTGGCCGAGAGGCAGTTCTGGTCACATGATGTGTTCAGTGTCTCTTAGACAACCATGTAGAGTTGTAGACTTGGTTATAGGGGTCTGGAGTCAGGGGGAGAAATCTGGGATGGAAATACACATTGGGGAACCCTAAGCATAGAATTCTTTAATTCTATTCCTAGGAATGCATCCTAGCTGGGAATAAATCAGTGAAATGAGGTGCAAAACCCCAACGTGAAGTTAGGGAAAGGGTCACGGACAAGCAGAGACTGAGAAAGAGATTCTGAGAGGGCAGGGGGAAAGCTGAGGGGGTGTGTTCCCTGGGAGACACAAAGATTCTGCTTCCACAACAAGGGAGGGATCAGCCGTGATAATGAAAGTTAGCCATCCACGTTAGGGACATGAGGTCCTCCATGACCCTGTTAGAAGCAATAAGGTCCAAAATTCAAATGCGACACAAATTTATGTGTTTGATAATTGTGTTTCATATACACGTAAGATGCTGTCCCACCAACTGTAGAAAAGGAAGAGCTCACAGTTGCACCTGTATTTATTTAAATTGCAATCAAATAGAGCAGAGACAGCTATAACCAACATTTCACCACCCAGGAATTTTTAGAAACCTCAAAGTATTAACTCCAAATAGGACAAAATGCTGAGATTAAAGTCAGAAGACACACCTCGCTCGTCCTCTGAGAATCAGTAATAACACAAGCTTGAATTATACAAGGTGACGAGAAATAATGCCAAGCTGGGTTATGAAACAGGATTAAGAACATTCCACTTTAATTTGTGGCAGGCCCCCAAGTCCCCAAGTGAACAACTCATGACACATTTTTGTCATGACTTGTAACTGTAAACAAAGTAAAAAAAACTCAAAGATTTCGATGATCTTCTTTCTTACTGGTAATTGAATGGGGAGAGTTATATGGGGTATGTGGGCAGTGGCGGGGTGGGGGTGGGGTTCTCAGCAGCACTCAGGAGTCACTCGCAGTGATATTTGGCCCCCAAGACACGGGTTGGTACTAAGGTTTGGGCTCGGGCCCGTTGACATGGTACCACTCAAGCCATTAATTGAACTTCGGAGCTAGGCAAGGCTCCAGCCACTTGGATTATTTTTTTAGTTAAAAAGTTAAAAATGTACCAATACTAAGAAAAAAAAAAAAACCTTTGGGATTGTCAACACATTTCCTATTTTGTTTTGTATCTTAAAATAAATAATACAAATTCATGACATTATTATAAAATATGCCATTTATTGGAGAAAACAATAACTCAATCATTTTTTTCTGAAAGAAACCTAGGAATATCATTTTTTTAGCTTTCAAACCTAGAGAAAAGATTGAAACTCATAAGGCAGAGTCCTCCTTCATTGTCATTATTAAAGTTATATCCAAGTTTAAATAAAAAAATATATATCAATTTTTCTGAGGTCATTTGGCCTCTCTTCTTCTGAACTTATGAAGGGCCAGAAAATGGAATTAAGAAAGAAGTCAATAAGTTGAGTAGATAGACAAGTCAAACATAATAAATACTTTAGAGGCTATTGACTGTTCAGTCTATATCTTAGGAATAATATTCCAATGCGTGATCCACACCCAGCTCCCTACTTTGTCATTATTAATGTTTTATAAAATTGAAACAAAACTTCTGCTTCTGATTTATTTTCCTAAGGCCTATTATTTTTCCAAAAGACACCTACTTTTTCAAAAAAGAGAAATTAAATGGAATTGATAAAACTGAGTCTTCATAAAACTACACTGATTACTGCTCGGCCCCATGAATCTTTTTGGCTCTAAAGTAATCAATCAATTGATTTTCAGTCTCTTAAATTAAATGCTTGAAAGATAATGTGGACTGGTTAATTTCCAGAATGTTCTTTATTCTCACTGAGCAGGACGTGATGCCATTCCCTGGCCTGCAGTGTGTTTTCCATCTTCCAGAATACAACCAGTGATTGTTCTGAGTCCATTCTATTCAGTGACAGCCCAGGAAGAGCAAAACCTCTGTTTTCATTAAATATAAAATTCCATAAATTGTCCCTCATGACACTGCCTCATATACCATTTTAAGCAGGGAGGAAGCTCTTATCCAATAATTTAAATGATGCAGTCCTTTATTAATCTTTGTTTAGAGTTGTTGAAAACTATGTTATAAACACAGATATATTTGCCTTACAAATACCAGATTTAGTCTCCATTTACTTTATGCAATTCAGCCTACATGAAAACTATTCTTTCAATAGCTAATCATAATTTCATTCTTTTTAAGATAATTTAGAAGGACACAAGGTTCAAAGCATGCAATGGCAACAATATGCAAAGTCAGCTGACGCTGAACAACTGGAACAGCTTTGACAAGGTTTGGCTTACAAAAAGGGACAACTATGGGGCTGGAGCAATAGTACACTGGGTAGGGCGTTTGCCTTGACGTGAGTGACCTGG